ATTTTTAGTTACATACAGCACAATTTTGGCAAAGACGAATGAACTGAGTAATGTTATGGGAATCAAGTGTGGATTGATGCTCTCCTTGTTACCTTGCTTCATAAAAGATTCCCGCTCTTCTCTCTCGAAGCCAGTTGAAGACACCTGACCTATCGGATCCGGTATGCTGAAGCTATCCTTGAATGAACGACCTCCTGGCAAGGCTGAATCTGAAGAAAAAGAAAAATACATACACCATTTGGAATCTTCAAACATACTATGTGCATGCGAGCCTCCTTGCTTTTCATCTAGCTAGCTCATGTGCAAGGAATACGAGGTAATGTATATCAGGGATCATGGTAGATGAAGATTCCACTTGACTTCCGTCATAATAATTCTAAACATTTTAAAAGCTGGAGAGTTTCTGGCGCTCTCGCAATAATCACAAATTACGCAGCGTGGTAGCGCGCATAATCACCGAACGAGACTTACCAACTGACTTTTAGTGCCAGCTTAACCATGAAGAATGATGTTTCCAACAATCTACTGGTGCATCAGTATTTGGTGTTGTATTTCAACGACTTAACTTATTCAAATGACAAACAAGTTTAATTTCTGACGAAAAGAGTAACCAGCTTGGAAGCTTAATCTTTATTGATATTTCTCTGATGGAGGAAGATTCTATGAAATCTAAATGTAATTGATTAGCTATGACTTGAATAATTGGATCAAATAATTTAACCCACCCATGCGTATATCTGACTTTCCGTCTTTCATCTCCTTTTCCCTTTCTTCCTCTCCCCTTCTCAGTTCTTCATTTTCTTCTTTTCTTTTTTCAACTATCTTAATCCTTTCTTCTTCTACCTTTCTCCATTCCTCACTTTCCTTTGCGCTTTCTTCCTTTTTCCTTTCATCCTCTTTCCTTTCTTCCTCTTCCTTTCTCCACTCTTCATCTTCCCTTTCACTTTCTTCCTTTTTCCTTTCGTCATCTTTCCTTTCTTCCTCTTCCTTCCTCCATGCTCCGCCTTCCTTTTTGCTTTCTTCGATCTTCCTCCTGTCCCCTTTCCTTTCTCCCTTTTTCCTTTCTTCCTTTTTCCTTTCTTCTTCTCTATTTTTCCTACTCTTTTCCTCATTTTTTCCTCCTTTTTCTCCTTTTTTCCTTTCTGTTATCCTTTCCTTATCTTCCATGATCTTGCTTTCTTCATTATCTTGTTTCTTTACCTCCTCTTTCTTTTCCAACTGCTCTCTTTCTTCTTTTATCATATTTTTTTCACCTTTGATGCAAAGAGATAAAGTTAGAACATAGCTACATGACAATGCACTCTCTGATTGGCTAACATTTTATGAAAAAGAAATGAATGGTTCAGAGAGATGGTTTAGGCTGACGCCATATCGTCGATAAAAAGTTCCAATCGAGTTAGCCACGAGGTTTCAAAACGTTTAAGATTGTTTTTCCGTTTGATACCGGTTGGGAAAGGTCTTTAGGAGCTCACAATGAAAAATAATAT